GGTGCTAGAGCCATTGCGGTGGGCTGTGCATGGCGGACCCGGTACAGGGAAATCGTATGTATTGAATCGTCTCCGGAAAGAATTGTTTGAGGATATTTTGGGCTGGAAGCAAGGTGATGAATTCCAAGTCGTGACACTGCAGGCTGTTATGGCCAATGACTTGAAGGGCGACACTATCCACCACGCGTTTGGTTTGAATTGGCAAGGCCTTGGCGATGAGCGCATTAGCGGGCACAAGCTCCTCGACCTGAGCGCCAAAGCATTGCGCTGGCGATGGCTCATCATTGATGAAATCAGCATGGTTAGCGCTGAGCTCTTGGCCCGGTTAGAGTTGCGTTGCCGAGAGTTGGTCCGCGATCTCGCCCAAGGCAAGTACGCAAAGGATGCGGCATATGCACGTCCCTTTGGAGGGTTGAACGTTATTCTGGCAGGTGATATGTGGCAGCTGCCACCGCCACGTGGAACCTTTTTGGGAGATGTCCCATGGGAATGGTTGACGCAATGCAAAACGAAGAAAGTAGCCCATACCATCCGCGGGCAGGAGTTAGTCTGGGGCGAAACCTCGGATGGAATCCATGGTGTGACAGAACTGGTCGAGCGCAAGCGTACCCAAGATATATGGTTGCAGAGCCTACAAAACGAAGTACGAAACGGCGCGTTGTCCGAGACGAACCACGCATTTTTGCATGGCTGTCACACGCGCGTGCCTGGCAGCTGGAACGGCCACAGACTAGAGTGCAACCACGCCACGTGCCAAAAGTTGCTCTCGGGAAGAGCAGCGCCAGATGCTATCTCACGTTCGGAATGCGACATGTGCAGAACCGAGCGCCGGTCCAAGGCCAGAGTTGCAGATAGTGCCGCCGCGGCGTCCGAGAAGTTCGCCGGTGCAAAAAAGAAGATTTTTTTGTATAGGGGGCTTCTGTTGTTGCAAAGGTTCCAAAATAATGGGGATTTCAATTTGACTTAGTGGTATGCTATGGTTTTGGTCTAATTGTTTCTTTATCTTTGGTTTAGTTGTTTTCAGCTTTCTTTTACATTTCTCAGATTCAAATAAATCTATCTGTCACTGTATTTCCTCTTTATTTCTTCGTTTCAAGAATCTGTTGTATTTTCATTGCTTCTCTTACCTCATTCTGTTTCATTTTGTCTTGCTAATTCTTGTGCGACCTGATTTTTTCTAGGGGTCAGAGTGTATATATATATATTAATATTCTATACATATATGTTGTTTATATTCTGGATTGTTTTCTCTCATCCTTGGGCTTACTTCTATGATAACATTGATTCTTTTCTTTATTTTTTGTTGCTTCCTGAGATTTGCTTATGTAATGTTTTTCTTTTGTGCATCTTTCCCTTATTTTGTTCATGTCTTCATTTTCCCTGCTTTCCTTTTTGGATTTACATAACTAATAGTTTTTGGGTGTCTTCATTCCTTCTGTGGTTGTAGTTGCTTTTTCTTTTGCACGTTCTAGGTTTGTGTGGCTTGGTCTGTTGTTTTGTTGGTTGATTTCTGGTGGAGCCCCTGTAATTTTGTAATGTCACATTTCAATGTAATGTTGTTAAAATCTCAAGAATGTATGTATGTCTATGTATCTATCGTTGTACCTATCTATCTATGTATGTATGCATGTATGCGTGTATGCATGTATGCATGTATGTATGCATGCATGCATCATGTATCTATGATGATCGTTTGTTTGGTGGGGCACATGAGGCTGCCATGGGTGGATGGGAGATGGCAGCCGGAGCCAGCAGGGCGCAAGAGAGCCAAGTGAGGAGAAAGCCCCCGGGTGGCTTAGGGAAGGGCAGAGCATGTGGGTGGAGCTGTAAGAGTGTTCAAGATGTGGTGGGCCCAAATGAGTGCCTGTTTGTTTGCCCTAAACCTTGTTTTCTTTTTATGGCACAGCCAGGGCTGGGGGGGGAGGGAGGGCGATTCTCTTGGAGAATGGTGGGTGGGGGCTGTAGGTAGGGAGATGGGCACAGTTGCATTGGGCTGGGTCGCCGGGCCTGTTCACGCAGCTGCTCAAAGCAAGCAGGCAAGCAAGGAGTCAAGAGTGGAGATGTGGAGATGTGGCATTTCTGCTGCTGAATTTTGGGAGTCTCATGATGACCATGAATTAGGGGGCCGGTTCTGTTTCCACCCTTGCAAAGTCTTGTTTTATTTTTGGTTTTTGGACTGGGTTCACCTGGTTTTTTTCCAAGGAAAAGTGGTTTTAGGCACACCGGTTCTGAAACCACCCTTATTTCGAATTATATTGAAATGATATTGAAATCGTCCTAACTTTTGCGAACTGTTCGATTTGGAGTGGAACCGATACAAAAAAAATAAAAATGATTTCACTATATCTTGGTAACACGGTTGCCCGAGCAAAAGTTATCATGAAAAGAAATTAACCACAACATGGAATGCATTTCATCCTAACATGCACTTCTGGTACTTTATGTTAGGATGAAATGCATTCCATGTTGGGGAAATGTGGTTATTTTTTTTCATGATAACTTTTGCTCGGGCAACCGTGTTACCAAGATATAGTGAAATCATTTTTATTTTTTTTGTATCGGTTCCACTCCAAATCGAACAGTTCGCAAAAGTTAGGACGATTTCAATATCATTTCAATATAATTCGAAATAAGGGTGGTTTCAGAACCGGTGTGCCTAAAACCACTTTTCCTTGGAAAAAAACCAGGTGAACCCAGTCCAAAAACCAAAAATAAAACAAGACTTTGCAAGGGTGGAAACAGAACCGACCCCATAATTCATATCATCATGAGACCCCCAAAATTCAGCAGCAGAAATGCCACATCTCCACATCTCCACTCTTGACTCCTTGCTTGCCTGCTTGCTTTGGGCAGCTGCGTGAACAGGCCCGGCGACCCAGCCCAATGCAACTGTGCCCTTCTCCCTACCTACAGCCCCCACCCACCATTCTCCAAGAGAATCGCCCTCCCTCCCCCCCCAGCCCTGGCTGTGCCATAAAAAGAAAACAAGGTTTAGGGCAAACAAACAGGCACTCATTTGGGCCCACCACATCTTGAACACTCTTACAGCTCCACCCACATGCTCTGCCCTTCCCTAAGCCACCGGGAGCTTTCTCCTCACTTGGCTCTCTTGCGCCCTGCTGGCTCCGGCTGCCATCTCCCATCCACCCATGGCAGTCTCATGTGCCCCACCAAACAAACGATCATCATAGATACATGATGCATGCATGCATACATACATGCATACATGCATACACGCATACATGCATACATACATAGATAGATAGGTACAACGATAGATACATAGACATACATACATTCTTGAGATTTTAACAACATTACATTGAAATGTGACATTACAAATTACAGAGGCACCACCAGAAATCAACCAACAAAACAACAGACCAAGCCACACAAACCTAGAACGTGCAAAAGAAAAACAACTACAACCACAGAAGGAATGAAGACACCCAAAAACTAGTAGTCATGTAAATCCAAAAAGGAAAGCAGGGAAAATGAAGACATGAACAAAATAATGGAAAGATGCACAAAGAAAAACATTACATAAGCACATCTCAGGAAGCAACAAAAAATAAAGAAAAGAATCAATGTTATCATAGAAGTAAGCCTAAGGATGAGAGAAAACAATCCAGAATATAAACAACATATATGTATATAATATAATATAATATATATATAAATACACTCTGAACCCTAGAAAAAATCAGAGGTAGTACAAGAATTAGCAAGACAAAATGAAACAGAATGAGGTAAGAGAAGCAATGAAAAATACAACAGATTCTTGAAACGAAGAAATAAAGAGGAAACACAGTGACAGATAGATTTATTTGAATCTGAGAAATGTAAAAGAAAACTGAAAACAACTAAACCAAAGATCAAGAAACAATTAGACCAAAACCATAGCATACCACTAAGTCAAATTGAAATCCCCATTATTTTGGAACCTTTGCAACAACAGAAGCCCCCTATACAAAAAAATCTTCTTAAAAGCTATTTTCGCCACAAATGCCGTGAAGTATCATGTGAATAAACTGCGAGCAAAAGCTTGGGCCGCAGAAAAAGGACAGGTGCTGCACTATGCCATTGCAAAAGATAGAATATCAAGCATGGCTTTGCGTGAGAAGCCCGATCTGGGCAAAGAAAAATTGACTTGGCTGCAGCGACACGATCAGGACTGTGGGTCCTTGTACGGTGTTTTGCCACTGTGCCTTGGTATGCCAGTGGCTGCCGCAGATCACTTGGATCGCAGCCGTGGAATTTTACGGGGGTGTGCTGGGGAGATTGTTGGCTGGGTTTGGCCGGCCGATGCCGTCGGAGACGCGCGTGAAGAAGGGACGCAGATTTGGAACGAGTTGCCGGCGTGCATCTTGGTCTGGTTCAAGACCAAGACCACCTGGCGTGTCGAGGGGATTGACGAAGACAATGTGTTTCCTGTCGCGCCGCAAAAGAAACCGTGGTATTTGGACAAGGGGCGAAGGCGGCCAGTTCTCCGTGTGACGCTGGCTCCAGGGTTTGCAACCACCGCTCACGCAGCCCAAGGGCAAACTTGCAAAGAAGGCGTTGTCATGGACATGCCTCTCATGTGTTGACTCTATATCGGGGTAGTTTTCGGGTCGAGTGGATGAATAGCCATCCCCTTGTAGCGTCTGCAGCTAGCGGGAGCATCTCATCGCTCTTGCTTTGGTTGTTGCGTGACTTGGCTCGTAATTCAGAAAGTCACATTCCAATTCCAATTGAAAGCGTGTGCCCCACCTGCCCGATTTGCCCAGATATTGATCCGAACGATTTGATTTTTTGGAAGGGAGTCTTGTTTGGAATATTAGCTTGGCCATTCTTGGAAGCTTTGCTCCTTTTCAAGCAGTGGTTGTTGCTAGTGATCAAGAACAGATTGTACCGTGAGACTGGCGATAAGCTGTACAAAGTCTTGTGAAGTTTGCACTTTGAACGACCTTGGGCAATGGGCGCGAGGGGGTTCAGCCTGTGAAGTTCATTGAGCATTGATGGGCGAGATTGATTTGAACGATTTGGAGCAGTTCTGCCTTCTAGGAGAGGAGGGCTTGGAGCCTGAGTGTGCTATTGGGCGCTTGAACCTGGCCCTGGAGGGTAAACCTGAAAGTATTGCTATCATCCTGATTTGCCTTGCTGGTGACAGAGTTTTGGCTGGGATCCCACACAAAGCTTGGCACCGAAGAGCTGCCAACCGTTTGCTTCCAGCTGGCACCCTTGAGAAGCCGCTGAGCCTTGAAGTGGCTGCGTGCTCCCTTGAAAGCCGTCACGAGGCATTGCCGGGTGGTAAGTGCAAGATTTGGGTTGGTTTCCTTGCCAAGTCTTGGTTTTCAAGCCTGGACTTTGATTCGGACGAAGCTGCAATTCTTCAGTTTGTTTTATTAGATTCCGAGGAAGTATGCGCGCCTTTTGGGGAAGCACTGCAGGCGATTGCCGGGGACAAGTTCAACGTTGCTTTTGTTGGAAATTCAGATCCAGAACCAGCAGCCCGTTTGAATGCCTTGGAGTCGCAAGTAGCTCATATCCGTTCCGGTCTGGATGCTTTGTTAGCAGCTCAGGGTGTAAGGCCAACAGTTTTGGGAGAAGAGTCTGGATTTCAAACAGCGGAAGAGGTGGAGGTTCAGAGGCCAAGCCGCCTTGCTACGCCGCCTGGGTTGGGCGCCTTGCCAAAAGCACCTCCAAGGGCCAAAGACAGCGGAACTGCCTTACCTGGCTTGGATCCAGGTACAGTCGCTGCCGCCCTGCAATCAGGAGTTCCTATGAGCCACCTCCAAGCCATGAGTACTTTGGTGCAGGGGAAGCCAGGCAGGATGGGAGATGTGCCCAGGCGCAGCCCACCTGTGCCAGAAAAAGCTATCGATCCCTTGGACGACGACGCCGTGGCTGTAGAGGACATCGACGGCGAGCCGCTGGACCCTGCAATGGACCCTGTGGCCAAGGCCTTAGTTCAATTAACCCACATTGTCAGCTCTATGAACAAGCAAAAAGGGAAGAAGGAGACCCTGGAAGAGTCGCTCGATGCACTGGGAGGCCAGAGTTCTGGCTCAGCAGATCAACCAACTGTGACTGGCAAGAAGCATGTGAAGGCCATCGAAGCCTTGAAACAGGCCTTGCGGAAAGAACCACAAGTCATTTACAACAGCATAGAAAAGTTGATGGCCGAAGACTATGGACTCATGGGCCACTTGCCCAACGCCTCCTTGCCAAACATGACAGCAAGGGGGTGGGCGGAGCATCGGTCGCGAATCCAGGGATTCCCCCGAACGGTGAGATGGGTCTGGGGCGTCTGCGGTATATTGGATTGCCTCCACAACTCAAACCCGGAGGAAGCCCGGGCCAGAGCATGCTTGATGCTCGCCCAAGCAGAGCAAGAGTCGATCGACAAAGGCAACTTTCTACTTGCACAAGAAATGTCCCTGGAACCACCACCTCCATATGCTTCGTTCACTGCGCATGTGATTCCAGATCCCATGGAAGTTCAATTCACCCGGATCATGGATGGCAGGTGGATAGATGCCTTTACTGCAAAGCTTCGCGATGCGGACGAGTACATCGAGCGCAGGCGGAAGCTTGGGCAACGGGGGGTTCATGCAAAAGAACATGGAAACCTCGAAAGCCCCTTGGCCAAAGCCAAGGCGAAGTTCAAACAAAAAGGCAAGGGCAAAGGAGATGGCGAACAAGGGGACTCTTGAGTGCTTCCGCCGAGGGACAAGTGGCTGAGGCAACTGCCTGCGGCGCTGTTGGTGGCATGCCTTCACTGTGTCCCTTGCCGAGTTCTTCCTCGTCAGGTCGGGGTCATTGTCTGGCCACCGACGCTTGCGGTCGGGGACATCTTGAAGGCTGCCCATCCAGCAGCCTTCAGGCTGATTGTGCCTCTTCTACTAGCTCCTCTAGCGATGCCACTCGTGGATCCCCATTGGATGGCTTTGACTTGGCCTCTAATTCAGTTGCAAGTGCGCAGACTGCTGTCAATTTTGAAGGTGCTGAGCCACAGGACGGCAGTCCACCGGCTGCCCACTTTGGGCCTGAGGTTTCCAGTGCGACAGATGGTGGTCTGTACAGTCGACGCTGTGCTGAGAGCCATTTCAATGTTCCTGGTTCCGGCGCTTCCACATTGCGGGCCAACTCCATTTGGGAGTCCCTGCACCGACATGTTTTTGCTAGCTCAAGCCACTTTGGGCATTTTTTCCGTTCTCTTGCGACCAAAGCCAGCAAGCCTCACGTCGGGGCTACGACTGCCAGTGTCTTTCCCATGCCACTTCCGTTTCCCGAAGTTTATATCAAAAAACGCACGAGCTGTCCCCATACTAGTTTCATGAAATTGATTAATCTGCAGATTGGGGCTTTGAATTGGCTCTATCTACATCAGCCTTACGAACCCCCCTCTACGATTTGTGGACATAAATGTCTTTCTGCTGTACAGCAAAGTGTGGTGGATAGATTTTGGAAGTTGGGAAAGGCCTGGCATGAACATCCGGCTATTCCTGCCAGTGACATGGGCAGGACGGCCGCTAAGCAGGAAAGCTTTGAAGACACACTTGCGAAGCTTAGCAGCTTTGCTGAAAAGAGTTTGCAGAATCATGGCCAATACAAAAAGAATCAGCGGCCTCGATGCCACAGCATGCCCAGTGGTAAAGTTGGCTCCGTTGTAGGAAAAATGACAAAAGGCGATTTATCGGGAGCGCAGCCCATAGTTGCGTCTCGAATAAAGATGGAAGGCTCTCCCACTTTTGACCCTTCTCCTTTCCTTGATGCTGAAACCAAAGACTTGTATATCCATCCCTTGGAGCATGCTATAGAACCTGAGCCTAGCACAGTTCCACCTAGGGTCCAAGTCCATGCCAGTTTTGAAGAAAAGCTTCGTTTGCTCAAGCTTCTTGAGAAAACAGACCGTTTGGCATTTAGGAGAATTTCTGACGTCCCCAAAGGGTATGGAAACGGCCTCTTTAGTGTCCCCAAAAACTTGCATGTTGATAGGCTAATCCTTGATGCTAGGCCTGCTAATTTGTTGCAAAATGCAAGCAATAAGTTTATTATGTCTATGGCGTCTAGTTGCACCCTGTTGGGTTTGCATTTGGAACCTTGGGAAAAACTTTTGATGTCAGGAGATGACCTGTCCAACTTTTTCTATTGTTTTTCAGTGACTGAGCAAAGGGTCACAAAGAATTTCCTTGAGTGGAAGGTGCCAGTGAGCGCCGTGCGCGGCATGAAAAGTTTTCCCTCTGAGCTTCAAGGGGAAAATTATGTTTATGCTTGTCTGGCGACACTAGCGATGGGGGATGCTGCAGCCTGTTCTTTTGCACAGACCAGTCATATTGCCATGGGGATTCAGTCAGGGGCTTTTGACCGTTGTAACCTGGTAACCCTACACGGTAGAATTCCCAGGGATCCTTTTGCTGCTGGCGTCATCATTGATGATCTGGTATTTCTCGAAAAAGTAGGTTGGGAGGTTGCGAAAGGCCCTCGCAGCACAGCAAGCCGAGCGGCCATGCATGACATTTACTCCAAAGTAGGCCTTGATCCTCATCCAGAAAAAGGTTTTGCCCATAAGACAATTGCCAACTTTTGGGGGTCACAGGTTGATGGAGAAATTGGATTGGTGCGAGCGAACATTTGTCGCAGCTTGTCGTTATGCTGGATTGCTGATCGCGTGGCGTCCCTCGGTGTGGCCAGTATCGGTTTGCTCGAAGCCTTGGCTGGTGGTTTTGTTTCTATTTTTTCTTATCGCCGCAGGATGATGAGTCTCCTGGATTCAGTCTATCGTGTCCAAGCTGGTAGGTCCCAAAAAGATATCATCAAACTGCCACAGTGTTTAGTCGATGAGTTGTACATTGCTTCGGCTCTTCTGCCACTGGCCGTGACAGACATTAGAGCGAGTTTCTGCGAAGCGCTGTATGCTGTTGATGCTTCAGACTGGGGGGAGGCGGTTGTCAAGGCCCATGTGGGAAAGCACCTCGGTAAGGAATTGCATCGCCATAGCCTGCAAAAGTCAGTTTGGACGAAGCTTCTTTCTCCTTTTAAATCTTGGCAAAAAACCCATGAATTATTAGACCCTTGTGATGAGCTCCCCGGTGAGTTTGATGAATACGTCGAACACCCTCTCTGGGAAACCGCATCCCGGGGTCTGCAATTTGAGCTGGTTTGTAAGTCACGGGCAAGACGTCGCCGTCACATCAACCTCGGGGAATTGAAAGCTTATCTTGATGCAGAAAGGGATGCCGGGCTGACCCAGGGGGATATCCGGGTCCCTATTCTTGGTGATTCACAGGTGTGTTTGGGCGCGATTGTCAAGGGTCGGTCTGCGTCTCCTGGTCTAAACCGCCTGCTCAAGTCCAGTCTTTGTCACCATCTCGGTTTGGGTATCTATTCTAGTGGTGCGTATGTTCGGTCATGTTATAACAGCGCGGATGACCCAACCAGAGGTCAGGCAATCCGCCGCCCTGACATAATCCTCCCTGGCTGGTGGGAAGATGCATGCGCTGGAAATTTTGGCCCCTTAGATGTTTTTTTGGAGGAATGTAACATGCACCCTTTCCAGTTAGATGGTGTCCCTAGCTTGAAAGAGCTGAACCTTCAAGATCCTTGTGTGGTTGGGAATGTGCCAAAATCCAAAGCTAGAAAGTTGAGGGAGCGGGTCAGAGCCAAACTCAGACTTCGTAAGGTGACAGCCCCAATCGAGGATAAGCATGTCCACCCATCTAAATCTAGAGAGTTTCCATGGGATTGCGAGTGCGACCGTGATCTGCTTAGCTTTTCTGAAGATTTGTTTGTTTTTGCAAAAGGTATCACCTGGCCACCAGAGCAGCCAGGCTTCCTAGATCTTTTCAGTGGCAATATGGGTTTTGCCAGAGCCGCAATAAACATGGGCGCCCCTTGGGTTCTCACACTAGATTGGAATGATGGGCCGCACTGCGATTTGCTCAAGGCCGATCTCAGATCCAAACTTGAGCGCATGTTGAGAGGAGGGGTCTTTATCCACTTGTCTGCAGCTCCTGTGTGCGCTTCATTTTCTAGAGCTATAACCCCTGCCATTCGGAATCACATCTACCCTAAAGGTGTTCCGGGAATGGGCCCCATCACTTTTAATAAGCTGCAGGAAGGTAATTCCCACCTTAGTTGGATTTGTTCGCTCATTAGAATTTGCATACTCAAGGGCATTCATTATTGGTTGGAAAATCCGGATTCCTCTCACATGTGGTATCAGCCCGAAATCTTGACGTTGCCTAACAATGCTTGCCAACGTTTTTATCGTGTTGATTTTTGCGCATTTAAGACGCCCTGGAGAAAACGTAGCAGATTCTTAACTTCTGGCAGATTGGCGAACACCAAGAAATTGTGCACGCGTGACCATAGACATATTGTACTGCGGGGTAGGTCTAGTAGACATGGAAAGTGTTGGACGAAAGTAGCTCAAGCTTACCCGACAGGGTTATGTGCCATGCTCGCTTGGTCAGCCTGTGCTGACACTGGCCTCCTGAGAAACCGACATGTTACCATTGGGGAAGTTGCGAAGTGCTGCGGTAACCGCATTGGCGAAGCAAGCCATCCCGGCCCACGGAGACCTACTGCTGTGGATTTTCGGTGCCAGAACCCTTTGAGCAGTGTGGAGCTCATTCGGCCAGAAACCGCAGCTTTCGGGTTGAAACAATGGGAACTTTTTTCACGTTGGTTTTTATCTCGAATGCCTGCAGATATTGAAGGTTCTTTTTGGGCATGCCCGCAACTCTTGGGTCATGCCATTGCGCAATACGGATATCACCTCTATGAATCTGGCGGAGCTCTCCATAGTTTGCGACACCTTTTGACTCATGTGCAGCGAACTGTCAGTGGAACGCGTGGCCACTTGGGACCTGCATGGGAAGTCGTCTCAAAATGGGAAGCCGTGCAGCCTGCGCAGCACCGCAGACCTATTCCTTTGAAACTGGTTGAAGCAATTGTAGGTCTTGCAGTTGCTTGGGGGTGGACCAGATTTGCAGTTGTAGTCTTGCTTGCTTTTTATGGGTGTTGCCGAACTGGTGAAGTGTTGAGGGCCCAAAGAAAGCACCTAGTATTCCCCAAAGACCTTTGCTTAGCTGAGACCGGTCATGCTTTGTTCATGCGCATTGTTGAGCCGAAACCCCGTCGAAGGGGCTTGGGAATGGTCCAGCATGCGAAGATTGGCGAGCCTGGAGTTGTCGCGTGGATTCAGAGTGTGTTATATGTTTTGCCTAGTGACGAATGGATATATCCCGGAGCTCCTAGTAGTTTCCGAAAAAGATGGGATTCTGTCATGGCTGCGTTGGAAGTTCCCAAGTCATTGTTGCTTACTCCCGGCGGCCTGCGGGCTGGCGGAACCGTTCAGCTCTACCGCAATGGGTGTGGTATACATGATATTCTTTGGTCCCTCCGACTCAAAAACATCGAAACCCTGCAGCACTACCTCCAGGAAGTGTCCACAGAGGTCACCATGTTCGATTTGTCTGCCAGGGCCAGGTATTTTATTTCGTGTGTTTCAGAGCTTCTCCCTTTTTTACTTCAGACCGCTAACTCTTGAGACGGGCAACCGCGGGAGCGCGCGACCTCACCGTCGCTGGCCACGTGCTATGAGTGGATTTGTCGTCGGCTTTCATTGACGCCTTGTTGCTGCTTCAGCCACGGTCACCACTTAGGGCATTTCCTTTCTTTTGGCTTGGATTCGATTGCGAGGATAAACTTGCACAGTGTGATTTTGATAGCCTTGCTTGTGTATTGACGCCTTATTTTGCTTTGCCGCCTTACGGAACGACAAACTTGCTTTGGCTCCTCCTGACCAAGTATTTCGTTGACGGCAGTGCATGTGCGTTAGCGCCTTCATTTGCTTTGGCCATCATGTGGGACATCACAGTTGCCTCTTGTTTAACTTTTTGGATCACATAGCCTTGTGGATTGTGGTGGTGGCTTTTGCATTTGCGTTATTCATGCCGGCATTCATCATCAGTACTACAGCTGGCAAGCAGGAGTTGGAAAAAGGGCAGGCGCGAGATGTGGGGGAGACACATGCACATTGGGGAAGCAGGCGACCCATTGACAGCTTACATTGCGTTAACGCGGGTCCAAGACAGGCATGGTTTGTTTGTGTACAGACCGTTCCCTGCAGCACCTTTTCAAAAAGGCGCAAAAATAGGGCGGGAATTGCTGTTGCGGTTCTGGGGTGGTGAAAAAATGGACTGGAGCGCGCTGCGAGCGAAATACCGAGACGAAAGGGAATGCAAAGAATGTAATGAATCAAAGCCGGCTTCTGGATTCACGGCTGGTCGATGGAAACGCACAGATGCGGCGAGAGTATGCAAAGAATGCATTCGTCGGCACGTTGAGAGGCAGATGCCGTGGCAATGCATGGCATGCACGGCCTGGAAACAGGAAGATGCATTCAAGGCAAAACATGCAAGCCCACAAGCCACATTTTATCGCATTTGTGCGACATGCGAACAGACGCAAGTGTGTAGTGTTTGCAATACGCGCAAGGACGAAAAGAAATATTCTGCCGGGGCGTGGAGACGAGCACGCACGGGCGGTAGAGTGTGTTTAGATTGTTCGGGTAAAGCATGGGGCCTGTGGAGATGCAGCGTCTGCAAGGTGAAGCAAGCAGCGTGCGCTTTTGAACCGTGGCTGGCGCAACATCGTTCGTGTAATGGTGACCAAGTTTGTAGCAACTGCTGGAAGTGCCCCATTCCCCGGGCAAGCATCAGCAAAGCGGTACAGCGGGTAGCTGCAACGCAGGCAAAAGTCGCGAGGACGGCAGCGGAAGAAAAAAAAGTACGTGCCATCGCCGGTGTCTGGGACGCCATCGCGGAACGAAAACGCAACAGAGAACAGAATAGCTCCCAAATGAAGGACGCAGAGCCGAAGGCAAAACATCCCAAACAAGAGAACCGAACAGAAATGAGCACAGACGGGCCTGAAGATGGACGTGGCCAACGGGAAGACAGCGACGAAAGGCAGAGGGCGGTGCGGGCGACGACTGATGTCTGGGCTGCCAGCGTGGAACGAAAACGGAAAACAAAGGACACCGCCCAAATGCAGGAAGCCCAGCCGCAAGCAAAGCAACGTAGAGAAGACGGCGGAACGGAAAGAAGCACAGACAGGCAGGCAGAAATGAGCTGCAAGCAGCAGAGCAAGGGCAGCGCGACGGAGATGGTGACGTTGCTGGCAGATGGAGCACAAGCAGGGGGGAAAGGCAAGAGTTTCCAATATGTTTGTCCCGCTTGCCAAAAGTCTGTGAGGAGCAGTATACGCACGGGCCAAGTAGATCACCGGCGCGCATGTGGTAACCGTTTCCAGGTGTGGGATGCGCAGGTCGTTGCGAAAGGGTATGTGTATATTTGCCCTGCTTGCAAAGGGAATGTGGCCAGTGACGTGAAGACAGGGCAAATCGACCATCGAACGGTGTGTGGGAACAAGTTTTCTGTGAAGGA